AAATGATTAAAAACGTTTCTAAAACATTAATAACTCATTTATTTACACATAATTCACTTTCACACTTTCACTGACTGTACATGCATGCATACAAGAGCGAAGAAAAAATAGATAATATTCGAACAAAGTGTACAGTATGCCCATGAGAAAATTTTATCGACTTTTCACGCGTGTAGGACCGTGAAATGTCAGCTTGGACTCTCACGAAATTTTGTAGGTATAGACAGCAAATTTTACGACAGTTTGGTCGTGTTGTTGCAACATCACACGCGTGGCTACGTGTGAAAAATCTTCAAACGTCTACACAAGTGAACAATCTTCACGCGTGATTACGTGTGGAAAAATCTTGACCATGCCGACCATCTATAGTCAACTGACTATACAGAATCTCCGATACTACTATTTAGCTAGCTTGCCTGAGAAACTACTGAATAAATCTCATACTCATAGTTGTCGAATCAATCCTCACGAGTTACCACGTGTAAAAAAGTTCTCACGCGTGATTACTCGTGAACTTCCTGTGTTTGCTGCTTTTTCGGTTGCTCTTTTTTGTTGATGGTTAGGTTTTGGCGACACCTGGGCACAAATACCTCATTGTACCTTTCCCGCAAAGTCTATCAGATAATTTCATTCGTAGACTTGACTTCTCTTTCGAAAATTGCTGTATCGAGCGAGTTAAGAAGAAATAGTTCGCTTTTCTTCGAAATGTAATTATGTAGTTGCTATTTTTCTTCGTTCTTGTATGCATGCATGTACAGTTAGTGAAAGTGGAGCATGTGTAAATAAATGAGTTATTAATGTTTTAGAAACGGTTTTAATCATTTCTTCTTTTTGACGAATAAAATAAATGAAATTAAACCATGAAATTTTATTTTTATTTTTATTATGCTTGTTCCTATAACGCTCGGAAGTGCTTACATGTGGGTAGATGACAATTGATAAAAAAATTAAAGAAGATATTGAAGCAGTAAGCGACATCCATAATGTAGAGCCTAACATAGGCGCTGCATTATTGTGTTGAGCACTATTTTTTCCTCTAGCACCTATTGCAGCTTTCCAGCACTTGCAGTACCCAGCGTACCTTCCCAGCACCTACAGTACCCGTCTCACGTTTTCAGCACCGCATAGAAAACTACGATGCAGAGGTGCAGCCCTCACCCCCTTGGATAAAACGTTATCTTGGATTCTTTCTTTATCTTTTTTCGCCATTTGAATAAATAGGGCTGTGTGAAATGGAAAAAGTTTAAGAGTCGTTCTTTGAATCTTTCGTATGAGTTTTCATCGTTCTTGAAGGTGCAGGCCGGTTGGGTCATGAGAACGAATTTAAGTTTTTTTAGGGAGATCAGTCAGATATGACGATGTGCACAGATTTTGATAATATTTAAATAGTAGCTATTTTTCCTTTTAGTTTAAACGACTTCATAACTATCCATCTTCTTCAATTGATTGTGACTTGAATTAAGATGTTTAGTTTAGCGAAAGACGTTCGAATCAAACCTTGTTCCTGTGGTTTTGGTGACAAAAAAACCATTATCAAATCTAACGATCGACAACCCGCGTTCGATTACTGTCCTAATATCAACAAGTTGGATAATCACGTTGACTGTCCATCTTTTGATGCTGTATGTCACGAGAATGAGCCATGTGACCCTTACTGGGGATTGATTAAGGGTCGTTTTAAAACAATTCGTCATTGGTGTTTGATGGGAGAAATCGAGGAAGTTAACTATTTCATTCGTCCTCATTTAGCGATTCGTACCAAATTCGATGAGAAGGTTATAATTCATTTTTATCTCGAGGAAGACAATACTCCACCCACTTTGTCATTTGATGACGCATTAATCGGTCATACGATTTTGATAATGTATGCTGAAAAGCATGATTTTCTCGACATGACTACTGGTGTTCGACAAGAGGTTGGAGATTTAGTAGTTATTTTCAAATGTTCTATGCAAATACTCATTAAAACTTTCGGATCCATGATGGCTCCTCCAGCTTGCTTTCAATGTGGAGCAAAACCATCAAGTCCAACTCAAAACTCACCGTTGGAGAAGAAAGAAAATCCTGTTTCAGCTGACCTATTTTCACATGTCGATCAAGATTCACAACCGACGTCGGCGAGCCTCTCATTGAAGAAGTGTTCGAGATGCCGAATAGCATTGTATTGTAATCAATTATGTCAAACTCAACATTAGAAAGATAATCACAAAAAACTTTGCTCATCAATGAAATATTTACAAGTATTACGCGAACTTGATTTTACGTCTATGAGTGTTAAATCCGTAAATGATTGTCCAGCTTTTTCTTTTGCTGTTTAATTCGCCTAAGAAATAAATATTTTTCAGCTATGATCTAAGCGGTAAGTCAAAACGATAAAATAACCAGTAGGAGGGGGAGGGGAAGTTTAAAAAGGAAAAGATTTGATTCAAACCATCATACGCCGCGTTTCGATCCCTGCTAGAGGATCATCATCAGGTATGTTCAGAATCAAAGTGCTACATTATCAAAGCATTTGAATGAACAACAATAACACCTAATTCGAACGTCTAATTATTCTTGAGGATGTGCTGGATTAGAGGTAGAAAATCAGTACGATATCTGTCTCTTCGACCAAGTTGAAGGCAGATATAGTGAGAGATGTCAAATAGGCGAAAGAAACTGCCTATAGAAGAGAAAAATGACTCAAGAACTGAGCTGTAAAATAATGCATCTACGGGGCTGTAACGCGGTGCGATCAGTCAAATGAACTGGTTTAACGTGTTTCGTCTTCGAATGCAATAAATAGCATTGACAATCCACGTAGAGATGAGAAAATCACTTGAAATAACGATAAAAAATCGAACACATGCCGTCGTTTTCACGTGAATAGAAAGGATTTGATCAGAAAAGAGTATCTCGCTTGCCGACCAATGTTTGCTACAAATGGGTTTGAACGGATTTCGTCAGCATTATAAAAAAAACAAGCGCGAACGACAATATTGCACGCGGTTCATACTCCACAAGATAAATTCAAATAACATTCCGATTGACGAATATGTCACGAAGTCTAATGAGTGCAGCATTAAATAGTTGACAGAGTTGTTTGATTACCAATAATGATAGTTGAGAAAAACCAGTCTTCCAATGAAACAGGACAGAAAAAACTAAAAAGAGCGTGCACTGCGGTTCTTGGTACCATTACCATAGTACCAAGAACCAGTCTACAGTGTGCATACTGTACATTTTGTTCGAATATTATCTATTTTTTCTTCGCTCTTGTATGCATGCATGTACAGTCAGTGAAAGTGTGAAAGTGAATTATGTGTAAATAAATGAGTTATTAATGTTTTAGAAACGTTTTTAATCATTT